TCCACCAGGACCCCCAGGTCCCTTTCCCACAGTCTCAAGATGAAAGGGTGCACTACAGAGTCCAAGGCAGTTGGAAGTGCTACACAATGTAAACACAACATAGAGAGGAGAGCTATGTTGTTCTTGGACACTTCAGGAATTTACACAGCAAGGCTGCTGTTATGATCCCACTGACAGTGAATCCTTCTTACTATGGAACTATGAGTTCTGGCATCCCAACTGGAATATGGACAGTTTGTGTTATGGAAAAGGGAAGGTGACTGGGATTCATCTTAAGACAGAGCAGGGCTGCCATACATCCGGTTCCATACCTGGCTTAGATATGTGGAGTCTGTCTCCCATTAAGCATGTGAGCATATGGTCCACATCCAGTAAGAGAGTGGACTTGCAGTACATTGGTGGGGTGCTGCCCCTAGAGGACAGAGCATGTCCAGGCCATGTTCTGCTCTACGTTCAGTACCTAATTTGCAGGCTGTCTACCATGAGCAGAACTTATCTGGAGTGCCACCACGCGACAGGACAAGTCACTGGCACTTACAGCTTGGTATCATTTACCACATGAAGATGATCACAATTCTCTAGACAGCAGATGTCCCACTCTCCATTGTCATTCCTTGGGATACAACTCCAGTCACTCCTTCATCTTGGCCTCTGCACCTAGCCAGAGTGCAGTCCAGACTGCATCCATGCAGGGGACAACCCCATTGTGTGTCAGTATAAATCAAAAAGATCACCAGGCTGGAAGATCAGTGGTCTTGTTTCAATCCTAGAGCAACATGTCCTGGCCAGCATTTCAGTTTCTGGTCAGCTGTAGATGATGTCCACACACATCCAGTACCATTTCCAACCTGGTATGAATCAGTAACTTTTCTGTTCTTAGAGATGGGGAGGGGACACAGAGGGGACTTACAGGGGGTCAGGGACTAAGCTCCCACCCACAGGCAAGTAATGCACACTGTAATGAAAATCCTCATTCTTCCAGGGAACAGAGCTCTGAGCAGCACTCTCAAGCTCTTAACTCAGCAGCCAAACATCTGTGATTCTCCTCCCCAGAGGCAAAGAAAAAGGCTGGTACTATTAAAAACACTGGTCAGTCTGGCTGAACCACATCTAGCTCTTGGATGATATACAGATGCATGAAACACTGGAGAAACAGAACTTTGAGACTGTCTACCACCTTGTGGTACCACTTGCCAGCATCAGACATCACCAAGCAGGCCACTGTTTAGGCCGTCATTCAAGTGCCAGTCTCTCGGCACAACAAACTTAGATCTGGCTGGCTTAGATCCTCTTGTCCAGCAGAACTGTGAACTCATCATGAATCCTAAGATTATGTCAGATTTTAAAACAGGCTCCTGTTCTATGTGGTACAATTTCCTTAAACACAGAAATGATAACCCATTTGCTGGTACCTCTTCTTGTTGGGTTGGAGGATGTTGCTGTGACAACAATGCTAAAATGTCTGATTTGCTTTCACAGCTGGAAAAGTCATCAGTGAGCTAACCATGGATAAAAGCAATACAGATGCAAATGGCTGAATACCTCTGGGAGACTTAAACTTGTTCTTTAAAGATGCTCACTTTAAAAAGGCCTTTCTTCAAAGTGAACTCAACCCTCTCTCAAATCCTACACCGAGGCCATACAGAACAGTATTTTCTATTTTAAACCTAGAATTTTTAAAGTGATGTTGAAGGTTCTCAAAGGTCATCTGCTTCACTGCTTTTAAACAGCACTAGGGAAGTGTCCATCTTGACTGTGTACAGTGGCTGTACACTGACAGCATTATGATTTTTACCACATTGGCACCTGACTAGACATTCTTCCAAAAAGCCTATAGAACGTTTGAGCTACTTCTTTTCTATATCAATAATTGTACTGTCCTTGACCGCATCTCACTCAAAAGCCAGTTTTTGAGTCAGGGTCAATAGGTATGGAAAAAACCATGTGGGAGCAGGAGTACCTGTTCAGAAAGAAGGGCTCTGTTGAATTAGCAATTCGGAACACTGGAAATCAGGTAGAGAAGAAGCTTTTTGTGCTGGGCATGCCTCCTGAAAAACTACTCAGATGAAAACTTGTTGGTAAAGTAGAGCAAGGATCTGCTAATTTAACTGAGCATGTGATAAAGCAATACTTCTTGCAACTTCACTTGTGGTTCAGATGGTCAAATAATATAACTTGAGGAATACTTGACACAGAGTTTAAAACACGTTCTCTTCTATGATGTCCAGTAGCTGGAAACAGTTTGTTTTTATTAAGAGACCCTTTGAAAAAATAAAAAGGCAACTTACATAATCTTTCCAACAGGAATTTGAGATTCCATAGAGACAAATGCAGCAAGTTGTTTTATTGCAAATTTATAATAATTAGTCTCTCTTTTTCAAACAGATAAAAGCAGGTATCAAAATGAAGTGTTCTCAGTACCACACTCGTAACTCCAAAGGGCTGGGTATCTTCTCGACGCAGGGCTCAGTGAAGGAAAAAATGACGCTTAGGTCCTGCTGCTACTAAAGGAAAATGTCTTTATAGGTTATAGAGGGCTTTTCCTAGATACAGTGTTTCATGTGGGACACAGGACACAGATAGCCAGTATCAACATATAGGTTAGGGACAGTCTTCTACTTTTCACTGCAGAACAACTGAGGCAACAGAACCTCTTGAGAAGAGGAAACTACTATTTAGCCTTAAGCCTGAATACAGCCTACTGTATTCAATAGACAGAAAAAGTTACCAGTCTTGATGTTAGTTGTAACCAAATCCTTTCAACATACAGAACTGCTGTTGTGCAACGTAAACAGAAATCAGTCTGACTCATAGCCCAACTCCAACTCAAAGGCTGTTGTAATTTCATCGTTTCTCCAGTTTTTTGTACTTGGCTTCTGCAGAAAGAAAAACAACAATATGGACTGGATAGGCAAAAGCTTTGAATCCTGTAAGCTGCTATGCATCTTAAAATTCAAGTTAATTTACAGTACCACTCAGGGTCATTTTTTACTAAAGTATTTAGACAAATATAATTGTACATAAAATTTTTTAAGAACCAGGTGCTTAAGTCAAACAACTAATATTAATTTAAGACGAGGGAACGTGGATGTCTGGTGGAACTTTACAAATCCCTCTATTTGCAGGATTAAACAACTATCCTTAAAATTTGGGCAGAGCATATTGTAAAAAAGAAATCAAGCCTCACTGATAAGCTGCAGTTCAATAAAACCTGTACTACTCCACTTCCATATAACTTCATATAACTTTCCCGATGCTTATCACTTCATATACAATGTTTGTTCCTCAAAAGCAGCATAGGGAACTCTACAGCTCAGATATGTTAAATAGAGGAGAAGTTTACTTTGTCTTTTTAAATCCCCTTGCAAGGGACTATGCTCCTAGGTAGTAGAAGTAGACGACAATAGTTACCAAGTTTTTTGGAATATGCATCCAATTTATAAGCTGCCTGCTCCAGAGCTGCAACCTGTTCCTCAATTAGGTTGATTTGTTCCAGGTACGGCTGAAGAGCAGCATCTTAAAAAAAGCAGAAAAATCATATCTGTCAGTTCTCAGTCATTCACTTCCAAGAAACAGTTCACACTTGAAACACGAGAATTTCTCATAACATTCTTCACACAGAACAATTTAAAAGCTCCTTCCTTCTCCTGCCTCAAAATCAAGTGGTGATACTGATGGCAATGTTCCAGGAAAGTAAGAAATATTTAAGAGTACTAGCTAGACTCAACACAAGTAACAATACAGCATGAATTAAAGAAGTGTCATTTCCTATCAGATCCAAAATTTGGGGTAAAACGGGACATAAATTCAGAAGTGTTCTCTCTTATGCTAGCCTACATAGTCTATAGCTGTAAAGAAATACACAGGATGGGCATTGCAGAGCTGCATGTCTACTTCAGTGAGTTTTCTCTCCTTCAACACCTAAGGGAGTGGGCACTATCTGACTGTTAGAAGTCTCATTTCCCAAACACATATACCATTCATTATACCCCTATCTTATTTGGTTTACTTACATTTTTGATTTAAATCCTTCAGATTTCTACTGATGTTTATAGCAATCTCTTTCATTTCTAGGTACTTCAAGCTAGTCAGCTTATTCATGTTTTCCAAGAGTTTGTAGTCTTCACTGGTGGCTAAAAAAGAACAGAGTTTATTTTAATTAAAACTTGATGTGGTTTGAATTGCATGACAGAGATTTCAAACCAATAGCCATATGTAACAAAGAATGGTAATACGGGTATTAATATAATGTTCTACAAAAAGAAAGATGACATTTTGCGAACTATAAAAATCAACTGGACTGATGAATATTCACTTCCTTTTTTTTTTTCCTGAGAGAAAAAGTGACTAAGTCCTCACATTTCTACTCTTATTCTGTCAGTTAAAGACTTATGTTTACAAAACTGGCAGCACAAATCCACACTGCTAATCTGTAACATATACCCTGCAAGTCCATGCAAATCAGCAGTGCTGTGGAATGCTTTCAAAAATAGAGCCTATGGAATCCACTGACTTGCTGAGCAGTTTATTTAGCTCCAGTTAATGTTGCACAGCAGTTTATTCTGAAGTATGAGTGTTGGAAAGCACGTGTATAATCCTTGCTCTCACTCAGAAACAAAATAACTGCATATGTTTCACTCTCAGTTGTATTCTTAACCCTTTTGTTTATTTGTTTGTTTTTTCCACGTACAAACTTCTGCAAGTTGCTGGTATTCTTCTGAAAAAGATTTGTGCTATTCTGGGACTTCATTAATATGACTAATCTCAGTGGTGTTAGTAGTCGAGCAACATGCCAGACTTGAACTGCCAAGTCTTGCTAGATATGATCCAAGTAAGTACAGTTTAGACAAACTACATAAGAGATTTCTTGAAAAGAAAATGAAAAGAAACAGAAACTTACTTCCAAATCAGTATTGCAGTGCCTTACCTGTCAGTTCACCTGTTAAATATGTGGCCATTTTGTTGAACATGTCTTTACAGAGTTCATTGATGTCTGCTTCTGCTGGTTCCTTAGCTTCCTCTGCTGTTTCAACAGCAGGATCCTCTTAATCAGGGTACAGACAGTACAGTGTTAGGGGAAAGTTAGCAGGTACAGAAACACACCATAAACATTAAAGGACCACTTCTCCCCCCTTCAAATTTACTACATCTCCTTTCCATACAAGTTGTCTACTTTACACTAATGGATAACAAACCTTGGCAGTTTCCTTGAAATAGCATCAATACTATTTCAAAATAATATATTAGGGAGCATTTAAGGGACAGGCACCAGGGCTGACCACACTTACAAATATCAGCCCCCTCCTGCACTTCGACAACAGGAAAGGCATTTGAGGACAACTTCCAAGTGACATTGTGCACAGTGCTACTGGTTATTTTTTGTCACCGATTCAAAATAGAACAACAGCCCCCAGTCTGTTTCACGAGGGACTAAAACAGATCCTCCCACCTGTGGAAAGTGGTATCACTGCTTTTCCCCTCCAGACCCATTTCTACTACAACCTGCCCTTGTTCTGC